CTTGGGTTTCCGAGGCAGTATCACTACGGAAGTAGGATTGCCCAACCTTCCTTCCGAGGAGTGGCTGGTGGGTTTGAACCGCCAGCCGTCTGGTTAGCAAGCAAGTGTCTTAGCCACTATGCTACCAGAGCTCCCGGCCCAGTCTCATAGTCTGCCATATTTAGCTTCTTAGTAAAACAGAGCTCCCACTTTCAACCTTTGTACACACTGTTCCTGCTAACCTAGCTGCCCCCCCACCACACATACTTTATGCTTGGTAAAATTTTACCCCTCCTACTTTCCATGACTACCCAGGTTGCCTTGGTGTTTCTTCCTCCAGGTTCCTGCTGCAAGTCATAACTGCCTCTAGGGCCATTGTGGCCATGTATTGTAATGTTTGTAGACATTATCCACACTTGCTAGATGGGCATCCCTGAAGGCCAGCTCGTTTAGCTCTGGACCTTTAGCACCCAGGATAGAGCTTGGCACTTAGTGATAGGTGTTCAATAAATACTTATTAAGTGAGTGAAACACAGCCAGTTTGTGGCAAAGCCAGAGCTAGAAAGCAGATCTCCTTGTTTGCAATCTTATACTCATTCCTCCCCTCCTAATTATGTCTGCTTAATCACTTGTTAAAACAGGGCTCAAAACCATCCTTCTTCACACATTTGTGATATCAAATAAATAAAGAATATGTTCTTCAAAAATATAAAGAAGACTAGGATGCAAAGGATTGTTATTGTTGTCAATGGGAGTTCACTGGGGCCAAAGAGGCCAATTCCTTTGCAAAGAAGTATACAATGCAAGCAATCAGACCTGGAAATGGCTCTTTTTCCTGTTTATAAAGGCTTGTTCTTATTCAACCCATTCCTCTGCTGCCTGTGTAAGGGTTAGTCATGTTTGTCCCTCCTCACAGACACCTCTACGACATTGTTTTACTTTAAGAATTTATGCCACAAATCCTGATATGTTCAGGGCCACATTATGACTTTGTGGGCACTAGGCACTTTTGCCTTTGTGGGTTCCCTCCTTCATAAAAAAAATATATATATTGAAAAATTTATTTTACATTTGTATAAAAGGAACTCTGGTGGTGCAGTAGTTAAGGCATTTGGCTGCTCACCAAAATGTCAGTGGTTTGAACCCATCAGTTGCTGCAAGGAAGACAGATGGGGTCGTCTGCTTCTGTAAAGATTTACAGCCTTGAGCCTTGGAAACTCAATGGGGGTCATTATGAGTTGGAATTGACTCAATGGCAGTGAGTTGTTTTTTTTTTTTTTGTTTGTTTGTTTGTTTGCATTGGTATAAAGATGAGTATATTAATATTATAAGGAGCCCTAGTGGTTCAACGGTTAAGCACTCATCTGTTAACTAAAAGGCTGGAGGTTCAAACTGACCCAGCAGCTCTGTGGTAGAAAGACTTGGCAATGTGCTCCCATATGATTACAGCCTAGAAAATCCTATGGGGCAGTTCTGCTCTATCACATGGAATTACCATTAGTTGAAAGCAACTCAACAGCACCTAACAACACCAACAACATATTAATACTATAAATTAAAATATGTTCTTTGCTTTAAAAGAAAATTATCTTTAAAGAAATTAAAACATTTTTTGTGGGCCCATAAAAGTATTGTGGACCTGTGCCTACTGTACCTAATGAATCAATTAGTCCTGAATATATCAGGTTTTTTTTTTTTTTTTTTGGTATATCAGTTTAAGCTCTTCCTGAAGCTTTTTCCATGAATATGATTGGTGTTGGGTACATTTTTTGTTTAGAAATATTGGCTCTGACAGTTTTCTCCTGCCTCAACACTTTGTAATCCTTAACTTCTTTCACTGGCTCAGGGCTCTCCCCTAACCACTCAGAGGTAGGTGACAGGTTAGCCTGAAGTTTTACCAGCGATCAGAGCACTGAAGCAAAGGAGGTAAGTGACTCGGAAAACCACACTCTGAAATCTCCGGTTCCTGTTGGTTCTTAGGCAGCTAGCCTGAAACAAGAAAAGAAAACTTGCTTTAGTATTTGCGTGCAATCAACATGGCCAAAAAAAACTGTAGTTGATAATCATTATGTTGTCATTGTTATTAGTTGCCATCAAGTCAGCTCTGACTCCTAGTGACCCCATGAACAATAGAACTAAATGTCGCCTGGTCCTGCACCATCTTCACAAACATTTGTATGCTTAAGTCCATTTTTCAGTCACTGTATATTTTGAGTGTCTTCCAACCTAGGAGGCTTATCTTCTAGCACTGTATCAGACAGTCTTCTGTTGTGATCCATAGGGTTTTTACTGGCTAATGTTTGGAATTTGATCACCAAGCCTTCCTTCTCAGTTTGTCTTAGTCTGGAAGCTCCACTGAAACCTTCTTACCGTGGCTGACTCTGCTGGTATTTGAAATAATAATGGCATAGTTTCCAACATTATAGTGATACACAAACCACCACAGTATGACAAACTGACAGATGGGTAGTAGAACCCTTCTGTATAGAGATTCCCAATTACCATGGATGATGTTGAGATAGGATGTGGGGTGTATGGAGTGGTATGGGCTAGTGTATTAGTGTTTGTGTGTTCATGCTCACGTACCACTGACTGAGACCTGACCAGATAGTTTAGAGGACACAACTAAACCAGTGCAAGTCTCAGTGGTAGTGGAGTTATCTTTCCATAAAAAGCTTGACACATTTCTGTCTGGGGGTTTCTGAATATTGGTTTTGATAAGCAGGCATATTTTGTGTTCTTATAAGCTGCAACATTAGTCAGCAGGTCTCTGCAGGATCTATTGTCAAACTCTGAGAGCATCATAATATTACAATTTATGGTACTGTTTATGGAGTAGTGCCAAAGGCATTTGACTGCTAACCAGAAGGTTGGTGGTTCAAACCCACTGGCCACTCCACAGAAGGAAGACAGGGCAATCTACTTCTGTAAAGATTTGTTGTTGTTGTTATGTGCTGTCGAGTCAGCCCTGACTCATAGCGACCCCTCCTTGGGTTTCCGAGGCAGTATTACTACGGAAGTAGGATTGCCCAACTTTCCTTCTGAGGAGTGGCTGGTGGGTTTGAACTGCCAGCCTTCTGGTTAGCAGTCAAGTGCCTTAGCCACTCAGAAACCCAATGGGGATTGCTATCAGTTGGAGTTATCTCGATGGCAGTGGGTTTGTTTTTTTGGGGGGTTTTATTTACACAATAAGTATGGTGATAATCCCTTAATGGGGACTTTACTCCACTGCATTCTCTCCAGATTGTGTTGTATCACTAACTGTTTCTATAACCATATTTCTATTCAGTACTCACAAAGTACCAGATGCTATAGCCAGATGCTATAGCAGAAACCTTTAAACCAGGATGTGAACAGCTTCCCAAGGGGTATACAAGCAAGGAGAGTTTTAAGTAAATTTACTTTCAGATTCTCAACTTCCATTTGTATTCTTTCTTAAAGCTGATCTGCCTAGGAATACATTCTTCAGCCGCTTTACTTAAGAAATGACACATGCCCCTTACTAATCTTACTTTTATTTATTATGAGGCCTTGCTGCTTAATGTAAAAAAAAAAAAAAAAAAAAAAGTTGGTGCGCCAAATAGAGATAATTCAAAATATTGGTATTTGTATTGAGAACTTGAATGCTTCAAATGTCAGTGTGGCAAGGCCTTTTCTAATTCAGTTGCTCCTATTTCCCTCTTTTCATTAAAATTGAGGAAGGACTCAAGTAAGTTGCCTGCTGTTAAACCACTGGCTAAATTTTGGTGATAAATCACTATGTAATTTTGAGGCATAAAACATGGAAGGATTTAAAATAATTGAGGGGCATTACTGTAATAAAATTTCCACTCGCATTTATGTATTCACATGAACCAAATTTCCCAAAGCTTAAAGACCTAAACATGAAATCTAGGACTAGAATTTATGCTGCACCTGAATGGTTTTATCATTAAATAGTATTCATCCATGGATACATGAGCTAATGAAAGAAAACCCCTCTTCTCATTTAGAGATGCATCTTCAATTTTAAATATAGAAGTTGAATGTACTTATTAAAATTTGTATTATATTTAAGCTATTTATTTAGCTATGTACTAAAAGTAATTTAAAATAACTCAATCAAGATCAATATTTTTTAACATGTAGAGACTTAATGGTTTCAAAAAATTAAAATCTTTCACATTTCTGTTGATTTTTTATTTTTTAAAAATTTTTGCAAAGAACTATGATAGAGTAATCAAAGTAAGAGTTAAAAGTCTAAATTAAAAGTCTTCAGGGGAAATAGAATAGAAATAGGTATTAAGAGAGAAAACAAATAATATCAAATGTCCTATTATTAAAGAAGACCTTGTTTATAGTTTGCTTTTTTTTTTAAGTGATAAAGCTTAGCAGATCACCATGGTGTTTAACTCCACTGGATACACCTGAAAGAAGTGATGTAACAGATTTATTTAAAAATGCAAATATTTACAATATTTTGGAAGTCCATCTTGAACATTTTTTAAAAGTATGATGAAAAATGTTGGCTCCCACTTTAATAGGTATGAGAATTTACAGAAAGTCCTAGAAAAAAAAATTGTGGGGGAGTAAGGAAGTAAAAATATTGCTGTTGAAGAGCATAATAACATTGCCTTCATGCAGGGTCCTCAATGTTTGCCTCTCTAACAGTGAAGGGTTTCTACTGAGATGGCTTCGAGGAGAACCACAGTGTTATTTAATCTGGTGGCATGTTTCCTGTGCCCTTAGGAAGTGGTTTTCTCCCTGTACAGAGTATTTCTAGGGTTTCTCTGAGAACAGAGAGAGAAGGAGAAAGAGACAGCATCCTGGAATTGGTGTTTTAAGGTTTTAGAGGACTAATACGTACTTCTGATCAAGGCAAAATAGCTAAGAAAGGAAAATGTAAACCAATGTGTATCACCTGCTTTAATCTGACCATTCTTTTTTTTTTCATCACCAAATACCAATAATTGCTTCTCATACATTATTTCAGATCTGTAAGATACCATAAGGACTTCCTAGGTGGTGCAAACAGTCAACACGTTTGACTGCTAACTAAAAGGTTGAAGGGTTGAGTCTACCCAGAGGCACCCTGGAAAAAAGGCCTACTGATTCACTTCTAAAAATTCAGCCATTGAAAACCCATAAGAGTACGGTTCTACCCATAGGTTGCCATGAGTCAGAGTCAACTTGATGGCAGATGGTTCAAAGAGACCATAAAGATTACTGACAAAAAAAAAAAAAAAAAAGATTACTGACAAACCAATTTGGCATTTCTCAGGCTTTCTGTAGCATGTGTTTTAGACCATGAACACTTAACAATGTATCCATTTGATCCTGGTCCCACCACTGAAACTCAATGAATTTAAATGATTTGTCCAAACTTGCTCACTGGAATGAATACATGAACTCTTTTAAAAGCCTGATAAAAAGCCATAGTCAGGATTCTTAAAAAAAAATGCACACTTGCAATTTTTAAAACAATTTCAGAAAGCTCATGGACCCATTAAGTCTGTTCATTTTAGTGAACTACAAGTAGTGCCTAAGGTATTTGACTGCTAACCAGAAGGCTGGCAGTTCAAACCCACCAGCCACTCCTCAGAAGGAGGGTTGGGCAATCTACTTCCGTAGTGATGCTGTCTCGGAAACCCAAGGAGGGGTTGTTATGAATCAGATCGGACTCAAAGGCAAAGGGTTTGGTTTGGTTTGGGATTTCAGTCTCTGCTAACATTAAGATAGCACTTTGACTCATTGGCAACCAACAAGGCTTTTGTGTGTGGGTATGGGGAGAGGGTGGAGCTTAAGAATCTTCCCTTGAGTAATGATTTTCCTGTGAAACATCTTGGGATGGCCAGACCTCCTCATCTCTGCTTCTGTTCCGTAATATAGTCTTTTGGACAGTGCTGGGTCTGGGATGCAGAGTCTTTGTCCTTGTGTTTCTAAGCAGGTTAGATTTTGAAGCAAGGGCAAATGTCTTTCTAGAAGAAGGGACCACATGCTCTGCTAATCTCTACTTTAATGTTCTCTGGTAGCCCATTCCAAACTGGAAGTTACTGGGAAGGAGCCCGAGACTGGGTCATTAGAATAACATCCTGTGCCTTGTGAAACCGTCATCAGGCTGTTTAACACTGTGGTTCTCATTAACTTTACTTTTTTAAAGATGTGAGAATGATTATAGGGTGAAGAAAGGGCATGGAGAAAGTAGAAGGAGCATGTGTTTTTCCTTTAACCTCATGTTTTATAGGAAGAGGTACCAAATGCTAATAGAAGTCTCATGACTGCTAGCATGCCAAGTGCCTTACAGAGTTGGTGAGAATGATGCCATGGAAGAGAGATTCTGTGGCTTGTCTACAATGTAGAGTTTTGCATTTTCAGAAGAGAATTGAATAAAGCTCTTCCCTCGACCCCCTTGCCGTTCTGCTGAGATCTATAGCTAAGTGGTCTTTGATTTCTGACTCTGCTTTACTCTCCAGCCCACTGCCCCTCTATCTTGTCAACCTGCTCTTGCTAGATTTACCACTGACATTGTAATACCAAACCCAAATATGATTCTCCACTCTTCCTTGATCTTTCTGCAGCAGTAAGTACTACTGACAACTTCCTTTTGATTAAAATGCTTCCCTTTGGTTCTTCTCTTGACCCTTCTATGACTTTTCTCTGTGTCTCTCTGGATCTAACTCAATCCTCTACCTTCACTTGCACAGGTAGGGGTTTCCTTGGGGACCTGACTCTTTTCATTTGACTGTTTCCCTGGGACCTCTTAAGGTCCTCTAGTTGTCAGTGGCCCCTAATTAGCATCTCCATGCATGCCTCCCCCCCTCCCACCATGGCCCCACAATCCAAATGCAAAACAAGCATAAGAGCATAGAGCTGGAGGGAGCTGTTGCAAAGATTTCTCAAGGGCAAGGACTATATCTCATTCAGGTCTGAATCCCCAGCCCTCTGGTAGCATAGTGCCTAAGGCACTTGACTGCTAACCAGAAGGCTGGCAGTTCAAACCCACCAGTCAC